TTAAATAAATAAATAATTTCTAAATTTTCTAAATAAATATAGATTACAAAATTATGATATTGTTTATCATTTTCTCGAAATCTTCGATCGTTTTTCGACTTACAAACGAGGAATCATTTCTTATATCCCATAAAAAAAATATATATATATATATCTCTTTATTCTAATATTATCAGACGATACGAAAATAATATAACGAGAACGAAAAAATAATTCTTCAATAACGAACCCTAAACCTTTTGATGGATTAAAAGTATGAATTTTTAATTTATGCGATCTCTCTTCTTCTCCCTCCCTCTCTCTTCTCATTCTCCACGACATATAAAGCTAAATTGAATAGATTGATAAGAGATAAGCGAACAGTGTGCTCAACGGTCAACTATTACGATTCGTTTAATCCTTGCATGATGGGGGAAAAGGTGGAGGAGGCCAAGGTAAAAGGCTTCCGGAAGCATAATCCGTGCACAGTCAATTTCATGGTCCTCCCCCTCCCCTCCGCGAAAGGATTATTTAAAATAACAGCGCGGTGTCGAGAGCTTATCAGAAACTTTCATCTTCGTACCAATTTAATTCCCCTCCCCTGCGGGAAAAAAATGTCCAATTTCAATTTTCCCCTTTACGTGGACGGATTTCCGGGGAAATCCGCTTACAACATCCGCGCTCGCCCGATCTTTTTGTTTTGGAAATTCGTCCCGTAACCCGACAATCCCAAAAACCTAGTAGTAGCAGTAGGTAGTAGACGAAGGAGAGGAGTTGGCCGAATTCCATCCATCGGAGTCAAATGTCGGATTAAGGCCGATTGGATGTATCCCGTGCGTGGAAAATTTTCAAAGAATCCGAAAATATGCCCCAATCGACGAAAATATTATACAAATTTTAACGCGAATGATTCGTCGTCGCAACCATTTCAAAAGAATCGAGTCAAAATTTACGCTCCATCGACGGACAATTTTTAACCGGCTCATTTTCGCTGATCCGGTTTTTCCTTAATAATCTTGTTTCTCGATGGATTCGTTCGTTGCAATTTCTGATAAATTACGCGAAATGGGATTACTAATTTACCCATTCCCAAATGCAATACTCTCGAAAAAAAAGAAATTATACCAGTAACTTTGCACGTAAATAAATTTGATCTGATTCTGAGAGAAATTTATTTGGTTTGTAATATCAACGTTTGATTAAGTCCATTAAGAATTGTTCTATCGTTTTTTTTTTTTTAATTTTTATATCTTTCGAACGTTTTCCAATTTCGAAAAGAAAAAGTAAATCTTCGATGCATAGAATAGGATTTTTATATTTGTTTGCCGTTTCTTGAATTATTTAGATTGATTATCTCGAATCATATTGCATTTATAAAAAAGAATTTCAGGGATTTTGTTAATATTTTTTTTCCATTGCTATTTATTTTATAAATATTTGTTGTTACATCCTGAAATTCTATGAGAATTTATTTCATCATTAACAAATCGTCTTTTATCTTTTATATTATGATGTGTGCATACAGTAAGCTTTTGTACCATCTATTGTTTAAATATTCTTTTGTACTTTGACATGATATGTAAATTTTTTTCTTTCATTTTGTATACACGCAATTTTCGTGCATACAAATACCTTATTTTCACTGTTTCATCTTTATATATATATATATTTATTTAAATAATCCTAATCAGAACATCATATAAAAATAACTATTTAAAAATCTATAAACAGTTAGCATAATCCAGCAATTATTCAGGATAATTTAACCAACCGGTTTATGATTGATAATAAAATCGATACAATATGCTTAAACTTCACTAGAAAATTGCTTTTGAGAAAAAATCGTCTAAGGAAATCCGAAGAACGAACATGGTAATCTTGGCTACGATAAAATATTTACGACTGATCTTTATTGTCGCGAAAGCATTTCGTACGTCAAGCATCTTCTTTAAAATATTATCGAGTTATAACTTTGCCAGGCTCTACTATTTTCAGAATGCAAACAGATAGATCGTCGACTTTATTATTACTATTTATTGTGCTATTGCAAAACAGATTCTGAGATGAATTAGTGAATAAATCCGCAACGATCTTGAATTATTCGTTATACTTATTTAAAAGTTTTGAAAAATTATATAATTATTGACAGATTTCTGAGCTTAGAATCATTAACCTATCTATCATTGAATCAAAATTAGTTTATGAGTAATTTTAATTGATAAAATGTTATCAACGAATAGATATAGATGTGTTCACAATGCTTTAAGGATTGAAAAATAAACACGAAGATACCTTTTTTTTTGTAGAAGGGAAGTTACAAAGAAAATTAATTCTTTATTAATTCTTGGAATAAACAAGGAGTGGAAGCTTTATAGGATAGGTCAGGCAAAAAGCAAATTATAAATAAAATTTATTAAATGATTTTGTTAATAACTCTTTGATACTGTCACAATATAATTCCATTTTTTTTCAATCATTTGTTGCCAATTCTTGCGTGTAACGAATTTACTAAATGATATTCGTTATGAAGAAAGATATACCGGATATAGATCTCTCTTAACTGATTACTCTTCTTCGACCCAAATGCAAGAATTAAATTAAATAACAGATGCTTACAGAACATCTCGTCGCATTTGTCCTTGCATTCACCAAGA